CGGGCGGCAGCTGCTGGTCCTGCTCCTCCTCGGTGATCGGCTGCACCAGCACCTCGCAGCCGAAGAAGCGGTGGCCAGGCGAGTCGGATGGATGTCCACAGGCCCTGCAGTGCGGCGCCGTCGCCAGCCCCAGGTCGTGCTGGGCCTGCTGCGTCCATGCCACCGCCGCCCAGTGGTGGCGCAGGCTGGTGGCAGACGGGCCCTCCGCCATCGCCGCACGCACGTCGCCCACACAGAGTCGCATGGCCCGTGCCCATGGCTTGACCTCGCCGTGATGGCTGTGGTGCGCCGCAATCTGCCTAGCCTGCCATCGCTGCACACCGTCGGCCAAATGCATCCTGACGTCCTTCGGGCACGTGGGAGGTTGACCGCCATGCCCTGGTCGGTCACAAGGGTTGTGCTAGAGTACATGTGCCAGCCGATACGCCACAGCGCGAGCGTGACGGAGGCGATGGGCCCGCGAGCCTCTGCCCAAGACGGGCGCCTCACAACCCGCTCCGTGACTTTGGCCCAGGCCCTGTGGAGCCTCGCCAGGGAGGTGCGCTGCTCCCAGATCCAGCTGGCGTATCTGCACACAATGTCGCAGGTGGCGCCATAGATGGGGTCGTACTCCCGAGCCTTCTGCGTGGCAAGGTACACCGTGACGCTCGAAGCACCAGGCCGAGCCCCCGCCAGCCTGCCAGCCTCAGCCCTCAGCACCTGCAACGTGTCGTCGGTGAGTCCCGACACGCCAGCCCCGTGCGCCGCACTCGGCATGAGGCCCGTCTTCCACAGGCAGGTGGCGCGCCTGCCCACTGCACCTCTGAAGGCTGCCAGCTTGCCGCGCCGCTCCTTGAGCTGCCGCACCCGCTTCACCGTCTGGAGCCTCGCGATTCTTCGCCCGCCCAGGTCGTGCCCCAGGTTGCGGGCCCACCGCATCTTTGTCAGCTTGCGGGCCGCCGCGTGACGGGCACACTCACGAGCCGCTGCGTCCGACGAGACCAAGTAGCCCGACTTGGTAGGCTGCACAACAATGCCTCGCTCCTGGGCGCCCTCTCGGAACCTGGTGGTGGCCGCCCAGAGCACTCCGAGCTGCGAGAGCCGCCTGCCTCGCCACTGCAAGGTGACGTCATCAATGAGGGCCCTCGGGGTGACACCTGCATCTCGTACCTGCTCGAGCAGCCTGAACATTAGAAGGGTGACCAAGGCGCAGGCGTGGGTGCATCCTGCGAGCACTCCCTGATGAGACACGACCGCGTAAGACACTGAGCCGAAGGCTTGCAGTCGCCTCGGCTGCCTGTACAACTCAATCAGCATCCAGACCAACCGCAGCGGCATGCCCAGCAGCCGCGCCTCGATGAGTAACCACTCGGGCTTGATCGTCTCGAAGAACTTCCACGCGTCCAGCATGACAATGACCACGTGCTCGTCCAGGCAGTCCGAGATCTCCGTCTCGAGGTTGAGGTCGAAGGCGGAGTCGGAGGAGGATCTGCCGCCTCCCATGCCCCAAATACTGGCGTTGGGGTGCGCAGTGAGCCACGCCTTGGACGTCGCAGCACGTGCCCTCGACCACCAGCGGATCAGAGAATGCATCAACGTGATCAGCCTGCATCCGCCCGAGGCCTTGGGGATTCGACACATGGCATGCCACAGCCTATCGCTGGGCCAGGCCCCCAGCGCCTCGCACTTCATGAAGAGCTGGCCGCAGGTGTACACGCCCTCGTCCGAGAGACAGGTGAGCGCGCGCATGCCGATCTGCGCCGGGCCCAGCGCCGTGGTGGTGGGGAAGCTGCAGGCGGCCTGCTGCAGCGTCTCCACGGTGAGGTCCTCTAGGTCGTCCCATTCATCGAAGTCGGCTGGCCTTTCCAGCGCCCCGAGCTTGTGGCACGTCCAGACGTCCTCCCAGGCCTTCATCTCCCGATCGCAAATCAGGTGCTGGCTGGCTACCTGCTGCTGCTGGACGGAGTCCTGTGCAGGATGTCCAGTGGCAAGCTCGGTGTGAGTGCCATGCCATTGCGCCAGCACCTCCTGCAGCGCCCGCAGCTCGGGTGAAACGGTGCGCCTTGCCAGCGCCGTTCCTCAGGCTGTCGTTGGCCCACTGGACCCAGCGCTGCTGCCTGACCTTGAGGGCGTCCGCGTAGGCGTCCTTGGCGAACTGGACGATGCGGCCCGCCTGCTCCAGGAAGTCGATGTTGCCGATGACGCGAAAGCCCTGCTCGAAGAAGGCCCTCACCCAATGCGGGAGCAGCGCCAGCGTCTTCTTGCTGTCCATGACCACTCGCCCATACTCCAGCGCCCTCGCGACGAAGTCCGCAAGCTCATGGTACTGCTCGGGGGGAAGGTCGCACTGCGGGCTGGCGGAGTGCAGCCTCCTGCTGGCCTTCGCGAGGTACGCACTGACCCCCATGAAATGACGCGCCCATCTGCCCGCGATCTTGGCCGCGATGACATCAGGACCCAGTCGGACACGCTGCCCTTGTGGCTTCCACTTGACTGGCGCCATCTTGGTCGCAAGGGGCCCCGCGCGCCCTTCGAACCTCCTGCGCGCTGCGCCGACCTGGTCGTAGCGGTCCAGCAACTCCTGTTCCAGGGTGCTGACGACGGCGTCCCAAGCTGCTGGCAGCTCCTCGGCGCAGGCCGTGGCGCGCACCTGAGCCAGAGCAGGCGCCCAATCCTCGACACCTCGGCTGCATCCTATGGGCGGCACCGCTGGGATCGCCCTGGGAGCGATCGGGACCCTCACGCGCATGTCCAGGTCAGCGGCCCGCAGCTCCATGTTGACAGGGAGGTGCGGGGAGGTGATGCCCAGCTCGTACACTCTCGGAGTCGAGATGCGGGTGGCCAGATTCGCACCGACCAGAAAGTAGTCCAGCACCGATCCGCAGCCCACCTGCGGGCGACAGGTGTCGGCCGACGGCGCTAGCCACAGGCCCCCCGCCTTCTCCAACTGCGCAATGGGCAGGAAACTGGGAGGCCCATTGAAGTCGCCGCCGACTATCCAGTCGATGCCCGAAGCAGTGAGCTTCGTGAGGTAGCGGGTGAGCGCGCCGAAGATGCTGCGGTTCACCTCGTTCATGCCGACGCTGTCGACCAGGTAGGCCGATACGAAGACAATGCCACCCCGTACTCCCCAATGCACGTGGGCGGCAACCAGTCGCCCTGGCCACAGCGTGGCCGAGGGCAGCAGCGGCGGGGCCGTGACGGGGATGTTCTTGCGGGCCAGGACAGCGACCCCGCCCGTCGTGCCCTCTGCTGAGGTGGGACCTGCCACCGCTGGCGCCCAGATGCCCGCGAACCCGTGGTCCAGCACCTCGTGCTGCAGGTCGGCGAGCTTCGCCTCGTCCCGTCGGTGATGCTCCTGAACGAGAACGACGTGCGACTCGAGGGTCTCAAGGCAAGGCGCCAGTGACCCCCACGAAGTAACGTTGCTGGTGGTGATAGTACCTTTAGCCATCGCTTGTACACAGGACATCGCGATGATGAGCTTAGTAAGGACTGAAGCCCCTGACCGCCAGCTCCTTGGCCCGCGCCAGCACGGCGTCGCTGGACTCCTCTGCTGGCCCTGGAGAGAATTCGGCCATGGTTTGCCGCAGCTTCTCGGGCTCCATCGCGGCGGGATCCCAGCGCGGCGCTGCGGCAGCGGGGGGGGCGCCGCCTGCGCTGCCAGCGCCCAGCTCAGCGGCATCATCGTCGTCTCCGTCTGCGGGCGCTGCAGGGGTGCGCGGGGCGCTGGCTGCCTCCGCAGCGTCGGCCCGCTGGCGCTTCCGCTGCAGCGTGAGCTCCTGGAGGGGCCCCCAGAGCGCCGTGGCCAGCCGCTGCGGCAAGTCGCCCGCGGCCGGCACAGTGCCGTCGGGGTGAGCAGCCAGGGCCCCGCTGAGGGCCCGCTCCAGGTCACCGAGGGTGATGCCGCCCGTGTTCCTGATGACGTCGTTCTCCATGGACTGCCCAGGCGGACGCTCCTCTGGCGCGGCAGGGACCTGCTGCTGCAGCGCCGCCTGCTCGGCCTGGAGGGCCACCTGCTGCGCCTTGAGCTCCCTGACGCCCTGCCTCTTGATCTCCAGCTCGTCCTGCGCCTCCTTGACGCGGTCCTCCGCCTCGCGCTCAGCCCGCTCCAGCTTGCAGGGCTTGTCCGCGAGGTTCTTCTGCCTGTGGGCCAGCGCCTGCACCCGAGCGTGGAGCGGCTTGGCAGCGAAGAGCCTGTCCTTCGCGGCGGCGAGCCTGCGCTTGAGCTCATCCCGCGGGCCGATGGCCCAGTCGTGCTGCACGTCCTTGAGCGTGGCCAGGCCCGCCTCGCACACCTTGATCTCGTCGGCTGCCGAGGCGTCCTCGCCCGACTTGCCATCGTCCACGTGCATGGGCGCGGTCCCGCCCTGGTCGGACTCCTGCGTGCGCAGCTTCTTCTTGGCGGCGTCGAGCTCCGCCCTGATGGCCGCGAGCTCGCTCTCGAGCTTGCCCTCAGCCGTCCAGGGGGCCCGCTTCTTGCTCTTGGCAGCAGCCCGCGTCGAAGGCTCCTTCGTCGGCACGGGCCCGCCGTACACGTCCTTCTTGTGGAGCCTGCACCCTTGACACTTGAGCGCAGACCCGTAGTTGATGAGCTGCCTGCCGCGCTTGGTAGTGCAGCTCCTGCATACCCAATCCTGGCGCTCCTTGCGGCCGGCGCCAGCCATGGTGCTGCAGACTGCACTAAGAAGAAAGAAAGGGCTGTCGGGCCCGAAAGCCCTGGCACTGGCCGCGGACTAGCGGTATCCACTTGTTCCCCTGTGGAACTGGGCATCTTGAGCCAAAATGGCTACGGAGGAGGAGGAGGAGGAGGAGGAGGAGGAGGGGGAGGAGGAGGAGGAGGAGGAGGAGGAGGAGGAGGAGGAGGAGGAGGAGGAGGAGGAGGAGGAGGCGGAGGGAGGCGGAGGAGGAGGCGGAGGAGGAGGAGGAGGAGGAGGAGGAGGAGGATCAGGAGGAGGAGGAGGAGGAGGAGGAGGAGGAGGAGGAGGAGGAGGGCACGGGCACGGGCAGGGGCACGGGCACGGACTTCCTCGTCTTGTCTTGCTTGCCCCCTGGCAGGCCCAAGGCGTCGTCGAGTGCCGGCGGCAGTGCCGGCTCGTCCCCCTGCCACTCTGCGGCGGACGACTTGCCGACGTCAGCTCGGGACGTTCCTGCACCACCGAGGACACAAGTTCTGCTCTCGCTGACTCGGCATCGTCCTGCACCGTCTTCGTCGTCCTCCTCCTCCGCTTCCTCCTCCTCCGCTTCCTCCCCCACTCCTCCTCCTCCTCCTCCTCCTCCTCCTCACCTCCTCCTCCTCCTCTTTCTCCTCCTCCTCCTCCTCCTCCTCCTCCTCCTCCTCCTCCTCCATGCCCCGCCCCAGAGCGCGGTCCTTCGTCTGCACCGGACGTTGAGCGCACGGGCCCTGGCGCTACATGTTCCTCATGTCTGACAGCGGGGGGGAAGTTTCCGAGAGATTGGACTCCATTCGGTGACTCGGTTTTGTGTCAATCGCTGCCATTCGCACGCACCAGACGCACAGTCCACTTCGATCCGATCTGATATCCTTTTGGGCCCGCCCAGTCCGATTCGATTCTGAGATTCCGTCGATCCGATGCGGCACGGTGCTTGGTCGGCGCTGTTGCACGTCGTGGCGCGGCCGATCTGATTCGCTTCCGACTCAGTGCCGATGCGGTCCGATACGATGCACTGTCCGATCCGATCCGATTGCCTGGTTCGATGTTGATTGACCCCACCAAAAGTTGCACGCACGGGCCCAAGCACAGCAAACAAGCGGGTGCGGGCGTTCGTAGCAGCATGCGCGCGCCACGCCGATATGATGGCGCTCTTGCCAGCATCGTAGGTGCCGGGCATCCCTCCACGCCTTGGGCCGCGCAAGAGTGGAGGTTGATCTCGGGCAGGAGAGCTTTCATACTCTGTCACGTACGCAGCCAGCAGGTGACGACTTTTGGCTATTAGGTGTCCCTTTCAACACGAAGCTGATTATGTTCAGAGGTTTCGAAGGCCTGGGCTGTGTGGGCGTTGTCCGACCTGGAGCGCGTGGTTGACGTGGCCTTGGCCGCGTAAGCGTCCTCGTCTCCACGCGGTGTACCACGCTTGCGGCCCGCGCAAGCCGCGGCGCAAGGTCGCCATGCCATCGTGCGCAACGCCCTCTCTCAGCGCCGCTCAGTCTGAGTCCGATGGACTTGCTCGAAGCAGAACCGGCCGCAGAAGCCTGCAGATGTTCGGAGGCCCGCGCGGACTTCTCGCGTCGGCGCTGGGCCCCACGGCGGCCCGCCCAGCGCCGCGCCTGGCACGCTCCGCGCGCCAAGGAAGGGCGTCCAGCGGTCCAGCGCCGTTCCCAGAAACGCGCGCGGACCTCCGATAGTTTACGTTTGTGCAGTTCCTTGCTCCCTGCGTGCGTCCAAGCTTGGCTCCGATGTTCGAGAACGCGACCGTGCGTTTGACAAGGAGCGCAGTGTAGTGCGGCATGCCGTTGTGCACGTGTCCTTCCCTGATCCACGGCAATCGGAGCGAACGGGTCTGTTCTGGTGGGCCCTTCTCCGATGCCTCGTTACGATGATGAGTAGCTTGACTGCTCACGCCGTACTCATGGTTGTTCCATCTTGCTCCGCCCTGTCCGTCCCTTTGCCTCCTCCACCTGTTTCCTCTCGCTCCCGCGTCTAATGCAGCCCCCTCTCAGTTCGACTTGGAGCCTGTCGCAGCTGCGCCAGCAGACGCTTGAGGTTCTCCAGCGAGCGTGCGGCCCATGCAGTCGAGCTCGGTGGCGGAAAGGTGCCCAACCGCGGCACGGGCGGCGCTGATGGTGGCCTCAACGAGGGCGCAGCCTTGTCGCCTGCTGCTCCGAGTAGGGCGCTGGTGGGACAGGCGTGGGCGATGGAAGCATTGGCCGGTTTGCAGTGGATCGCTGTGGGCATCCAGGCCGAGGAAGTTCCGGGGGTGGAGGTCAGGCTTGAGTGCGGTCTTCGCTGGCTTCGACCGTCGCCTCAGCAAGCTCCCCCAGGTGCGCTTCCGAGCGACTGGCGCACAGCAGCGTCAAGCCGTGTGGCGAATCTGCGAGGCATTGGCGCCCTTGCTTGGGTTCGGCGGCTCCTCGGGTCCAAGGTCGCGGAGAAGTGGAGGGACTGGAGGACAACAGGACTCTGCGCACAGCAGGAGAGCCCTCAGAGCATGCATTTCTTCGGGATGTGCCAGAGCGGGCAAGGCTCGGTATCGTTTAACCGATCCCCATCCCCATCCCCATCCCCATCCCCTTCAAGATCCCCACCAAATTACCACCCCAGTTTTGATACACCCCTCGAGACCCGAAGGGAACGACCTATATCCCCATCCAGGGGGGTAAATCGGCCAGTGGGGCCCAGGCCACGCCACTGGGGATGGGGATCGGTTAAACGGTCCTCCTCCTCCTCCTCCTCCTCCTCCTCCTGCTCCTCTCGGAGCACGTAATTATCCGGGATGTGCCGGAGCGGGCCAGGCGCTGGCGCACGCAAGACCACACAAAGCCTGACGACTGGGGCCCACACCCACGGCCGAGTCCCAGCGGGGCGTGGGAGACAGTCGAACGGACGGCCCGGCTCTGTGGCTTCCCAGTCCGCGTCTCGCCTTCGGCGCATCTTCGCCAGCGGCTGAAGGTGAAGTCGGGCCTGTTTCTCTACAGGAGGAATATTCGAAGATAGTCAAACAATAGTCTGGGGACGATTCATTATGATTATGAGCATGATTATTATTATTATTAGTATTATTACTACTACTACTACTACTACTACTACTACTACTACTACTACTACTACTACTACTACTACTACTACTACTACTACTACTACTACTACTACTACTACTACTACTACTACTACTACTATCAATATTCGTGGTTGTATTCTTATTCGTATCATGTTTACTACTGCGATTATTATTATGAGTTTTATTATTATGAGTTTAATTATTATGCTGAGTTGTATTATTATGATTTGTATTATTATTTGTTTATCATTATTCTTATTATCATCATGGTTTGCTTCTTTCGGGTGTATTTTTTGAATATTTCTAATTGTTCCTCCAAATCCGCCTGTATGGGGGACTCGCCCGACTTAAGCCTAAGGCTGGCGGAGTTGATATGATGGCGGGTCCAATGGCGGAAGCTGGCGGAAGCAAAAGCGAGAGGCCAACCTCTTTTGGTCCAGGCTTTCTGGAGTCGGCCTTCGCAGGCTTGCCGGGGAGCGCCACTCCGAACCAGACCAAACCCAGAAGGGAGGAGCTGGACGCATCGGCGGGGATGGGCGCCAAGCTCGACGGGCGGGTCGCGCCGCCGGTGCACCTCGCGCGTTCGCAGCGCTTGATGCGGATGGCGCCGAGGGATACCTCCATATGCGAAGCAGTTCGCCTCGAGGAAACACTTCGACATCGTACCTCGTGCGCTCGCTGCGCTTGGTGTGGCTGGCGCTGACGGACATCTCCATGTACGAAGCCATTCGCCTCGAAGAAGCACGTCGACGCCGTCAGTTTGGCCACCCGTGCGGGGCGCAGGGGCACTGCGCTTGGCGCATCGCAGTACAGGCCCGAGGGCTGCCCTCCTCCAAGGTGGCCGCGCGAGGGCGCGAAGCCGCGCGCGCGCCGCGCATCGCGCGACGCGGAGCTCGAAGTCGGGCGAGCCAGGTCCAGCTCTTCGAGTGCTGCAGGGCTGCCGTCTTCGGAAGGATGGTCGCAGGGCGCTGGCTACGCTCGCGGCGGCACGTCGCCTCCGCCCCCCCTCCTTTTCCTGCCTGCCCTCCCCCCTCCTCGCCCTCACTCTCCCCCCCCCCCCTCCAGCCCTCCCCCCCGTGCTCCTTCCCCCCCCCTCCCTTGACAATTACTCAATATGAAAATACTCTCCCTCTTCCCCTGATGGCGTCCGGGTGATGGCCGCGCACCCTCCGCGTATTGTTTTTTACACACAGGATTCCCGGGAAATCCCGGGAAACGACTCTCGCTGAGGCGCCGGCGTCATTTTTTCCCAAAATGCTGCTCTCGTTGAGGCGCCGGCCTCATTTCTGCTCCCGAATCGTTCCGAATCGTGCTCCCGCTGCAGCGTGGGCCTCATTTTCGGATCGGTGTTTGGCCTCCGTCGTTCAGGATGGCGTTCTCGCCCCAGCGCGGGCCTTTTTCTCGCGCGCCCATCCGCCCGCCACCACCGCGCCGCACCGCCACCACCACCACCACCACCACCACCACCACCACCACCACCACCACCACCACCACCACAACCACCACCAGCACCAGCACCAGTACCAACACCACCACCACCAGCACCACCACCACCAGCACCACCACCACCACCATCACCACCACCACCACCACCACCACCACCACCACCACCACCACCACCACCACCACCACCACCACCACGACAACCACGCACACACGCACGCACGCACGCACGTGCACCACCACCCACTACGCACGCGCGCGCGGAGCCACAGGTCCGCTACGACACGCGTCCGCGGATAGAGAAAATCAGCGCCATGGTAAGGGATGGGAGGGAGGGGTAGGACGTCAGATATGACGCGAGCGCACCTAGCTTGCCCCCCCCTTCCGCCGTGTCCCCCCCTCCCGCCCCCCTTCCCCCGTCTGTGCGCAACGCAGTGCGCCTCGCAGGCACTGGAAGCCTGGCTGGCCCAGCGCCGCCATGCGCAATTCGCCGAAATGGGGCGGCGCCGCCGTGCGAACTGCGCCATTGGGACCTCGGGTGGAGCTTCCCCGTGGGGCCACGAGACGTGTGAGGGGTGTGCCAAAATGGGGCGGCGCCGCCATGCGAACTGCACCGCTGAGACCTTAGTGTCGACTAGACGCAAGAGTGACTCTTCGCTGGAGTGACCTTTGGTGCGGGCCCATTGTGGTCCCCGATCGCCGAACGCGAGGCGGCAGTGGCGTCTTGCGCGCTTGTGTGTTGGCCCCCCCGCGGCCCCCCCAAAAGCCGCGCACCAGTGGTCACTCTTACCCAGGGCCGCTCCTGCGTGTGGCCGACTGGGTGGAGCTCCCCCCCGTCCCCCTCCCCGCGCCACAGCTCGCCGGTCGGCAGCGCCGGGGGCCCCGCATCCGCCGCGGGCCGGCGCCCTCTCCCGCCGCCCCCCGAGGGGGGGAGGAGGCGGCGGCGGTGGCGGCCACGGCCATGACGACGGCCACGGCCACGGCCACGGCCGCGGCGGCGGCGGCGGCGGCTGCGGCGGCGGCGGCGGCCGTGCCAGCGGCGCCAGCTACCACGACGACGGCGACGACGACGACGACGACGACGACGACGGCGACGGCGACGGCGACGGCGACGGCGACGGCGACGGCGACGGCGACGGCGACGGCGACGGCGACGGGACGGCGACGACGGCGGCGGCGGCGGCGGCGGCGGCGGCGGCGGCCGTGCCAGCGGCGCCAGCGTCGGGCCAGCGGCTGGAAAATGTGGCGCGAGGGGGTCCGAGGCCTGGCTGCCCTCTCCTCCCCGCCGGTCCTCCGCCCCCCCCCCGAGTCTGCAGAGACGGTGGTCCTGCTGCTGTTCGAGAGATGTAGCCAGGAGCAGTTCGCACGTGGTTCGATCGCGCCCCCACCAACCAACCAATCTCCGACGGTCTCATCGGTTCAGTCCTGGCCTTTTTCCTCGATTTCGGCGCCACGGGCCCGTCCTCGTGCCAGGGGCAGTAAAGAAAGGCTCCAGGAGGAAAATCAGGAGGGAACAAAAACACACAGACACAATTAATCGTCGACTCCCAGGAAATTATGGGAAAATATGGGAAGTGGGGGGAAGACGAAAATCCAGAAAAAAAATAAAAATACGGGGGATCCTGGGATTTGTGTGTATCTATTTGTGTGTCCTTGGGCCCCTGGAGAAAAGCTCATCCCGGGAAAAGGCTCGGGCCCTCTAGCGCTGCGCAGTGAACAACATCTCGTCGTCGGATGTCTGGGTGTGCGGGCCTGCCTGGAAGACGCCCTGTTCAGCTGGCAGGCCGGCTGGCCGGAAGGGAAGGTTCAAGTAGTGGCGAAGCGTCCTGGCGTGCCTATAGGCCTACCCAACAATGTTCTAGGAACCTTTTGTGGTTTCCACGCAATGTTCTTCGAACACTTCTGGCTAGGACTGTCCTGTTTTAGCACATCGGGCTTATGTTCTAAGAACATGGTTTTGTTCTTAGAA